CTATTAAAAAAAGGTAAGGAGAAAGGGGGTCACCTTGCCTAAGCCCTTTTTGCATTTTGAATTCCTGCGTGGGGCTCCCATTAACAAGAATTGAAACAGATGCAAAAGTTAAGCACTCTTTAATCCACCCACGCCATTTGTCTCCGAACCCCAAGGAAGACTGCATAAAATCAAGGTAATCCCAGTCAATTGAGTCAAAAGCCTTTTCAAAGTCTACCTTAAACAAGATGCCCATTTCCTTCCTTCTTTTTAAATCATGCACCAGTTCATTAAGTACCAAGACACTATCAATAAGTTGCCTTCCCTCTAGAAAAGCAGATTGGGTCATGCTGATAACTTTTCCAATGACTTTCCGTAGCCTATTAGCTAAAACTTTAGCTAAAATTTTATAAAGGCTCCCAACCATACTAACCGGCCTGTACTCTTTCAAAGTCGTGGGATTTTTCTTCTTGGGAACAAGGGTGATATATGAAGCATTGATACCTCTGACCAACCTTCCATACTTGTGAAATTCTTTGATGAAGTTAGTGATAGCTCCTTCAATAGTGCTCCATACAGACTTTCTAAAGTGGAAGTTGAAACCGTCAGGTCCAGGGGCTTTGTCACTTGCACAAGAAAAGACTGCTTCTTTGATTTCCTCATTAGTAAACTCAGCCTCCAACATTTCTCTGTCTTTTCTAGATAAGCGGTTAGAGAACATATGCTCCAAGGATGGTCGGTTTTGAGGTTGGGAGGAAAATTGATTTTTAAAGTGGTCCAAGATGATTAACTTGACCTGATCAGGATCATCAATCCAGGTTCCTTTGTCATCAACACCATGAATCATATTTCTCTGCCTTCTCCCATTTGTTATTCTATGAAAGAAATGAGAGTTTGCATCCCCATCTTTAATCCAACTAGCTCTAGACTTTTGCCTCCACAAACTTTCTTTTTTCTTTAAACATTGCCAAAGGTTTTCAAATCCCTCCTTCCTTTTGAGCATATCATCCTCTGTAATATCCTGGCCTTCACATTTTATGTCAATCGTCTCAATATTCTTTAAGGCTTCATCTAGTTGGCTATCAATATTACCAAACACATCCTTGTTCCATTGCTTCAGGTGCATTTGGAGAGCCTTTAGCTTTTCTTTACATTTGAAACCCCAATATCGCTCAACTTGGAAAGAGTTCCACAAACTCTGTATCATTTTACCAAAATCATGATGTGAAGTCCAACTATCAATCAACTTAAATGGTCTAGGCCCCCAATTGGCATTGTTTGAGGTAAGACTAATAAGGCAATGATCACTTATGCTTCTCTTGAAAGCTATTTGAACACAGTCACCCCAAGCCTCTTGAAAGTTTTCAGAAAGAAGAAATCTATCCAGCCTACTCTGGGCAGACCCATCACTCTTATACCAAGTGAACTTCCTGTTTGATAACGGCAAATCGACCAAACCATTTGTATCGATAAACTGGTTAAAATCATCAGTACCAGGATGAGAAATCATTTTGCCTTTCCTTTCATACACTCCTCTAACACAGTTGAAGTCTCCCCCAATACAGGAAATGCACGTTCGACAACTAATATGGCCAGAAATGTCATTGCAAAGCTTTGCACGACCCGTAACATTACAAGGGCCATAAACATTTAAAAAGCAGCAACTAGTTTTATTTGCCCCCCACAGACCCTCCACACTGATGAAACCGTCTCCTTCAAATAGATCAATTTTCTTAAATAAGTGAGAATCCCAAATACAAAGAAGACCTCCAGATCTGCCATCTGCACTATTCGCATACCATTCAAAGCCCTCTTGCCCCCAAATTGACCTGCATAGATTCTCATCAACTGTCTCAAGTTTTGTTTCTTGGATCATCAAGAAATTCACATGTTCACCACTGACTATCTTCCTCAATTCCTTTCTCTTAACACTGTTCCCGAGCCCACGAATATTAAAAGATATTACCTTCATTTTAAGAAGAGATCTGGTAGATAGAGCAGCATGATTTAGGACTTTTGCAACCCCTTATCACGCTCTTCTAACTCATGAAATTTGGAAGCAAAGATTTCTTCATTACCCACGAAGCACAACCCTAGCTGTCTTCCAAACTCTACAAAACGTCTGATATCCATGTCTTCAATACTGATATCCTTAAGTTGGATTCTTTTCTCCATGATGCTATCAGAAAAAGAAAGACTTGAAGGGTTGTCGCCATGCCTCTTACCTCTCTTCCCTGTTCTTGCTGACTTCTTTCTGATCCCACGATGCAACCCGGTCACAAGCTTTAGGTTCTTCGTATTTTGAGCACAGTTAGAGGATTGTTGAGAAATTGGGTTTCCCTGCAGTGGTGATTCAGCAACATTTGTAGGAGCATCGGAGGTGCAATGGGCCATGTTTGGGCTCTCATGGGCTTGAGGTGGGCTTGCACGGGAATCCTGATCAATAGATAAATTTTCCCCAATTTTTGACTCTTTTGGAAATGAAGAGTCAATCCCGTCTGAGAAATTAATTCCACCGCCATTTTCAAACACAGGACAGTTAGAGGATTGCAATCTTGGATAAAGGCTTAGTATGTAGGAGTGGCAATTTCCCTTGATCCCCACGTGAATCCCTACTACAAGGGCAGGGCAAGGAGGAAAGTTCCTTCTCGTGGGGCAGGGATGAGGGGTATTTCCCTTAGTGAATTTATGTGAGAAATTTTTTTTACCCTACAAGGCCTCGCAATGATCCCCATCCCCTAAGAAATTAAAAAAATATATAAATTAATTTTACTTTAAATTCAACCTCACCCAATACATTACAACACATGTCAAAACCAATTGAATAAAACTTAAATTTAACCCAATTTTACACAACCCAACCCAACCCATATCTAAATCTAACCCTAAACTTAATCATCACACACACTTAATTCATAGCCAAAGCTACTGCCTTGAGTGCTTGCCTA